GGACAGCGCTCGAAAACTCATTCTTAACTGAAGGCGTGTGATTAAATTTCTGTATAACAGTATCTGAACCCAAAGTTTTGAGGAGAAATGGTGTAAAGTTTTGAAAAATTTTATGCATTATTTCGGTTACTATTTGTTATAGAAACTTAATAAAATAGATCCCTAAAAATATCGAATATTTTCTATATTCAGATAATTAGGACAACTACCTAGTCATGAGCTAATTTACCTCTTCAAGAAGAAAGTTGCTTCTTAAATGAATGATCTCTTAATCAGTTATGTTGCAATACTATACAGGCTGATGAAGATTTATCGCGTACCTCAACAGATTTAGCTCTCGAAAGAGCTCGCTGTGATGAGTTGACACTCTCTTTACAAGAGAGTGAAGGATTACTGAGTCAGGTCTGCTTATTCTTATTATACATTTAATCATGTCATCCATCACATCAATCACCTCCGATTTCTAGACTCGATCTGATTGTCTGGAATATGCTTTAGAAAATCAACGACTGTTGGAAGAAATAAGAGATGTTAATCAGCTTATCGTGTCGTACAGAGCGAAATTGTATGCTATTTTTTCCATACTATATGATGCCTAAGTAGTCTTAAGAAAGAACGAGCATTAGTATAAAGCTTTCCTTCAGCTCATCATTTCTTTTCCATAACCTGTAATAGTGTTAATGCCTGGGTTTACAACTTTTTATTTATAAAATGTCGAGCAGTAAATTTGAATATCTTAGTTTTTTCGTTATGTCTAGTCAATAGTCAATATGAGCACATAATTTTTCAATGTGTCCAGATATCTGGAGAAGATTATAGGCAGTTAATCATTGTATTTATCATCTCGCAGAAGTTCATGATACCTTACACAGGGATGCACAAGGAGCTGATCTTATTGCCACGAAAAAATCCTTACGTGCTCTTCAACGGGAGAAATGTGTGCCTGTATCTAATGCTATTATGGGTACCAACGAACTTAAATAAATCCATAGCTCTTTGATTACTCGTATAAATATAGCTGTACTATTTATTCTCGATATGTTTTTTTCTCGACATACCTCGGTCTACAAAAGTTTTCATATTTTGAGAAAATTTTAGGTGAGAAATTCTGTGTAGTAATTTATTGTTTACGAAATTGATCTATTAATTATATGTCAAAATAAAAGCATTCCGCAAGATAAATACCATAATTAAGTTCATTGTTTTTATGACTTAGTGGTCGTCTTCTTTCTTGTATGGAACGTTCGAAAAAGTTTTCGAAGCGCTCCGGGCAATAAATTGTTTCTTGTGCGCTGTTTTTTCTCCAATTTTGTCAACTTTGTTGAGACAATGTTGAATTGCTCTTCAGACTGACTTCTGATTTGACGTAATCGATAGTCGACCATTGTTGCTTGAAAAATAAACTTTTACTAAAAATGAAATTTTCTCAAACTGTGTTGGTTCAAAATTTTTAAAAAAACACACCGAACATGGTTACGTTTGTGAGGAATCGCTCATTGTCTTCATTTGCTAGCTCGTAGTTACAACTTGTATTCAGTATTTTTTCAATGTGTCGTTGTAAAGAACTGGTTGAAGCCTTCTTGGTATTTGTTTCTCTTAGGAACAGAAAAAGACCTTTGAATCGGTCTCCTTAAATGTTTCTCTAACTGCAAGGTAATCACCGAGAAAATTTACTCACCGAAATGATAAGGGTTGTGACGTTGTTTTTCTGAACAGATATTTATGTAAGTAGGTTCGTCGCAAAAGCTCAACGACGGTTCAGATTTGAGTGTAACGTTAGCTAAAATATTCTAAAACTAATCTGTTTTCTTGATCAGTTAAATACTTCTGATTTATTTTTGTGTTATACAGGAAAATGACTACTAAAACAGCCTAAAAGCTTTCCTACAATGACACTGAGACAATGACTATCCATAACTTTCACTAAGCAAAAATAAAACTAAAACAACGGGAACATGTGTAAGCAAATAACAATTTTGTAACTGTTATAACTCTAATATACTTGAGAGTCTGACTCACCCTGTTCACTTATTCTATACTTTCTGCCTTCACGAGTGAAGTGGTTTTGTATTTCGAATAGTGATTTTTCGTCATAAGACCATAGGAACGCATCAGAATCAGTAGGATAATACATTCCAGTGAGTTGCAACGAATACACAACTTAACGAAATAGATTATATGTCACTAATTGTCAAACATTGACCTTAATCTAGATGGGAGGAGTCAACCTCAGTGGTTCAAGAATACCTCGAGGCTTGTACGCTAATGGCACGTGTCGATGAGGGTTAAGGTCATATCGTTCGGATGACCCTCTGGATTGTATGCCACTAAAAGTTTATATTTGAATGAAGAGAAATTTTCGATGCCTATCATATGTATTTGTGGTCTTTGAATATATTCAATATTTAATAATGGATATTTTACAGTACTTAGTTAAGGATTCCTATCACATCGTAAGTCCTAATTTATGAGTATTAATCGACCTCATGTTCATTTCATTAATAAACAAAGACTTCACACTGATAATATAGAAATCAGGACCATCAGTTTGAACTGGCTCCGATTATAAGCTGTGGTGGGTCGTTGCCCGATTTTAATTTCAATAGTGCATCCCTCAATCATGATATATACCAGAAAATTCTGTCCGTTTCCGGAATGAAATCAATTTATGTGAACCGATTTTGAATATTTTCACACCAATCCTATCTTCTGAATATGGTTTGAGATGGTTTATTGAGTTGAATGAAGCCTATTTGTGATCTCGGATGTCTGAAAAAGATTCTGCGTTTAAATGGTTTCAACATTTTTGACGATCAAAAATGGTCGCTCAGAAAGTGCCTTATTTGGAAGGCTCTGCATTACTCTGTAACATTTCTTCCTTGTTGAAACTTGTTTAAAATACGGTGACGTAGATGGACTTCAACAGTAGCTATGCGTAAACAATTGTTTCCCCTTTTATGACTAACGTAAATTTATTTTAGTTAATTTGCTATGGATAAAAATAAAGAGCCAAACATGCATGAAATAAACATGTGTATACGTGTCGAAAATTGCTGTGATGGAAATAGGCAGGACCTTCCGGTAGATGTATATATTTCAAATAAGTTGTTACGCAATTCTCTTTTCTTTTGCTTTCAAACAATTCTATCAACCCAAAGAGGAGAAGAAACAGCTGTGATTGGGAAGAGATGTGTACGACAGATCATTTGTTTTCGTTTAGTTGACAGGAGGTAATTCATCAATATCGAGATTAATCAGAATCAGTTGTGCGATCTTTGCGATAGCTTCCCTGCAATCATCTCAGACACATTTTCTATGCCATACATACTTTTTTCTTAAATTTTATCATATTTTTCAATTGGCCTGACTTCATGTGAAATTAATAAAAAGACTCAAATGTGGTTTTAATTTTATATTATTCATGTTTGATTAAACTTACCGAATAATATTTCTGTTATGAAAATTGGAAATGATATAGAAATGTTCCAATATAATCCACTCTTTTGTGTCCTCAAGAGCTCTTTTTTGTTTTCATCATCATTTATGAGGGATAATAAGATTGAGACGTTTGAAGTGATTTACGGCCAGTCACATTAACACATTTACGTCTACATCCATCCATTAACGTGGGTACACAGGTCGTATTTGTTTTTGCGTATGGTACCATACGAACTTCTTATGGGAGTGCATTTTATTGTGAAATAAAACAAATGACTGATCGTTGACTTATAAACCTCAGTGATAACTCATACAACAGATCAATCACATAAATATGGCTAATTTAAGTTATTTACCGCTGGTCACTTCTGCTACGAAGTCACAATAAACACAATACGATAACAGTAACAACTGAGTTGCCATTTATTAGTGTTCATTTGTACTTTACATACTTAGCTTGTTAATCCGTAAAAGTTGGAGAGGATTATTTCACGAGTCCACATATAGAATTTTCCTTTAATGTTTGAAAATAATTTCTCAGGAATTCAACCAAACGGCTTTTCAATAATACACGTTGTTTTTCCTCTTGTTTTCCTACATATACATGTTTTGTTTTGTTTTTTCTTTCGCACTATCATATAGAGCGAAAATTTGAGAAAAAAAAACACCTTAAGGTAAGAATAATAATTTTAACACACAATTAGTTCCTATGGAACGTCTATAACCGCGAATAAATCGGAAGTAATTGCCTATTGATGGGAGTAATATGAGGCATTAGAGTTATTCGAAAAATTTTGTGAGTTAAGTACAATAACGTAAAAATAATGAAGATGAGGGAAAACTTCATTTCTATTTATTCATCAGAGAAATATCAACTGAATTAGTGTGGTGCATCGTGTATATTTTGAGTTGTTTTCTCAATACACAGAGTTCCATTCCGAGCCATTTGCGATAGGTAATATTTGGTGTTGCTACCTCGTAATTATCTTCACGTAGTGCTAATATAACTGGTAAGCGTCTGCAAAGGTGTATCGCATATAAGATTAAATTTCTGGCTAGGTGCTGTTAGTTTTTGAATAAACTATATTGCACAAATCAGTTTTCTAAATTATGAGGATATTATGAGGAATTAGTCATTAGTGGATGGAAATGATCTGAGGATTAAATAACGACGTATTAAACAGCCGAAATAAGGAACCATTATTGTGCAGCATTAGTTAAATAATAATGGAAGAAAGCATATGTGAAGTTCGAAGAAAGAAAACAAATTAAGCATAAATTTTTGGTGAAAAAGCAAATAATGGGAAGGACAAGTAAATTTCCCATCCAACATTCTGGAAAGAGTCAAACGTTCAAAGACGTACGAATAGTTTACCAAGAACTTAATAATTTAAATTGTCATTCCTCCCAGATGGTTTACCTATTCAACGGGGCTGGAGGTGTTCGCAGGTTTTTCATTTTCATATGAAGATCTAGTCAAGAGTAAACCTATCAAAAACCGCTACCGACTTTGCTCATATAGATAAAAATTCTGTGTCTCACCCAAGAATGGTAAAATTTGGCGCCCCTGGCAGGACTCGAATATGCAATCTTCCGATCCGAAGTCAGACGCCTCATCCATTAGGCCACAAGTGCATCTATGCCAACACTTCAAAAACCCTTTGAATGGTGGTATTTTTGTTAGAATAGGAGAACATCGTCAGTAATATCTCGCATCAATTGAAACCACGTGGCACATATTTGTACTTCTCTCGTAAAATATTGTGACAATGGCCTAGACTCAAACCTGAAGTCTTCGTATTCGAAGTCCGACGCCTTATTCATTAATCCAAAATGCCATCAATGCCAACACTTCAAAACACTTTGAATTGTGTTGTTTTTGTTGGAATAGGAGAACATCTTCAATAATATCTCGTATGAATTGAAACCACATGGCACATATTTGAACTTCTTCAACAAAATATAGCGACACTGGCCTGGTGTCGAACCTAAAACTTCGTATCTGAAGTCCGACGGCTTATTCGTTAGGTCAAAAGGCCATCAATGCCACACTTCAAAACCCTTTGAATGGTGGTATTTTTGTTAGAATAGGAGAACATCGTCAGTAATATCTCGCATCAATTGAAACCACGTGGCACATATTTGTACTTCTCTCGT